GGGAGTGAACACAACGATCCCAGCGCCGCTGCCAAGCCTGGAAGCATCCCTGGAAATCACTCCCAGGGGAACTACTTCGAGGGTGATGGATGAATTTAATACCTGAGATAAGTGTACGGGTTTTTATAGGCGCAGTCTAGAAACTTTCCGATCGCACCTCGTATTAAAGTCCCGAAATAAACTATCTTCTGCGTCATTTGCATTGCAGGAAACGACAGCTCGATTGCTCTTTATGGCGGTGAGGTGGGTTCAATGCCTGGCACCGTTCCAGACTCTGTCCACGAGAGACCAGGTAAAGAAAATTCAGACCTATCTGAAACTTATTCACCTATTAAGTGAAAGACTGCGCTTAGTCTAGAGATTACAGATCAGTTTGTAACAAAATCTTATCGCAAAGCGTGTCCTAATTCCTGTTTCCATAAGTTATACACTTTTAACAATATTCTCGTCGTTCTTACAAGACATTTCCTTATAAAAACTCGGCAAGCACGTCGTTTATCTCTCATATAAATCTACATATAATCTACAACTGTGATTGCCAACCTTGTATTAATGAAATTTCGAAGAAAAAAAATATACCGGTACCATGCAATTATGTCAACGTTCGATGACAGCGACAAATATTTAATTTAGTTAGGACAGAAACTTTCAAGATATTTCTGATTTCATTTCAGCTGCTGCTACTTCAGGAGTCTTGGAAAGAATTATTCTTATTACACTTGGCTCAGTGGTCCATTCCCTGGGACCTCTCAGCTCTTTTCGGCTGCAGTAAGGCCAGAGACCGCCTCCCGCAAGATGACATTACCAACAACGAAATTAAAACCATACAGGTAATTTTTGTCAATGCTGTTGGTAACCTCGTAGTATGATTATCTACCACTCCCCTAAGTACAGAATAATTCAGTCCCTGAATCTTCAAGTGCTGTTCTCATAACCTCGATATTTCCTTACGTCATAGATAATTCCCTGTGTACATGTGGAAAGCACGATTTACCATAGGCTAATCGACGACGAAAAGTTGAACAGCTTAAGTACAGGATAGTTAAAAACGCAGTCCTAACAGGATAACTCCAACATTCTACGTTAACGTGAGGCATGACGTATTTACAAGTCTGAGACGCGTGTGTATACAACGCGAATGAATACATTTTAAGAATTTTTAGACCTAATAATTTAGTAAGAATCCATAATTCTGACCACTCTGACATGCAGACAAGCATTCGCTGTCGGAGTAGTGCATATTAGTGTCCCAAAGGATTACACACTGTAGTTATTACAAAATTATAATTTCCTTAAACAACAACTCTGAACGTAAGGATGGTCCTTTGGTATTACGATAAATTTTAATGCACAATGATTTAATGATGGTCTATCTGTTGTTCTCTACATTTGGATAAATTATTTTTTTTTAGTCAAACGTAAATAAATTCGGGTTCATATGCCATAAAGAATTAATTATGTAATTAATATTTTTACAGCATTAAAACTCGAAATTATCAACAACAGAAAGGTTATTAAAGTTTTAAATTATCTTGAAATTTCAGTCTTTTAAATGGTGGTCTTTCAGATGAATACACACACGTATTCCAAGACTATTTTCTGATTAACTTCCGAATTTTATTCTCAGGAAATAATGGGAAGATTTCGTCAGTTGTCGCCAGATGGCAGTGAGTGCGGTTGTATGAAAGCTGTTATCCTCTTTACACCAGGTAAGTGGTTTATTCTGTTTTTTCATTCTTAATCGGTGACTCTGTAATTAAGCGTAATTGATCAGTTTAATTCTTCAGTCCGAAAATCATGACCACTATTAACATATAATTATTCTAGTGCATAGTTTAATTCTTAATTTAAGCTCTATCCCATTACGAAACACTATCTCTATAAACAGACCCCCGGTATAAAAATTCTCAAGCTTTTAAGTACAAACTGATTGTAGCCTTTCATTTTCGTACAGAGACAGTGGGCCTGTGTGACGCCCAACCTGTGGAGATGCTGCAAGATCAGGCACAATGCATCCTGGGAGATTACGTCAGAAGTCGCTACCCTCGTCAACCGACACGATTCGGCCGTCTTTTGTTGCTAGTACCGAGCTTGAGGGCAGTGAGACAAGTTACCGTCGAACAACTTTTCTTTAAAGAAACCATCGGCGAAATTCCAATCCAGCGACTCTTAGGGGACATGTACAATATGGAAAAGTACACGTAAGAGTTTTATCGAATTCTAGTGTTGCGTTGTTGAGACAGAGTTAACGGAATGGTTAGTCAGTCGTTCAAAACTGGAGGTGATGTAAATAGACCGGGTTTCTGCATTAGTAAATACCATACAAGACAAAACCTTAGCAAAAATCATGGCCAATATGTCAGTCAGTCTCGTTTGGCAGAAAATATGAAAGGTTTCACGAGAGCCCCAGTCCACACAGCGCGATTAACTAGAGCCACGGGCTCAAGAGTTTCCCTAAATCGTCGATAAAGCTGTATGCACAATCACCCCGAGTCTCTGAAGTACGAAAACGAGAGGTCCGGACCCACAGTTGCCACGAAACCTCATCGTTTCGTCTCATTTTGGGACAGTTCAAGTCAAATCGCGTCCCACAATCGATTTCCCTCAGACACACGGCATCATTCCATGTTGTCTAAGTCTCCAAAGGTATTTTTTTATGAGGTTTGTTACCAAAATTCCCGGGCGCATTTCATGTTAATCGTGTTAGGTCTGCTAATACTTTGAGAAACACTTTCATTTCTTTCGCAGCGAGCGTGAACCTCGATTACCTGGCTAACGATGTATTTTATCTGATCACTTCTGCTGCGTTCCACTGTATGGAGTACAAACTGCCCACGAATATAAGACAGAAAACTTTTAATTATTTTGGTTTCCAAAGTGTTTGCCTTTCTAACACCCTATACGGCAAGCATTTCCTGTTTCTTATATGCATGTGACATGTTTTAGTGACTTCAACATATTTTAAACTACAAATCTCCTTAGCATGTAATGTTTCTCCAAACCGTTATATATATTTTATCTCTTTTATAAAAAAAAAAGTTTCATGTAATGTTTCTCCAAACCGTTATATTTTGTCTCTTTTATGAAAAAAAAATGTTCTCCTTGATACTTCGATTTAATATTTCCTCAGAGAGATAGAGAGAATACGTTCCACACCAAATTTAGTCCTCACCTCCAGTATGGAACCCTTGTAACTGAAGTTCACACTAACTAACAGACGTGAGTTTACATTTGTTATGTGCAAATAATGTGGAGTACTGAAAGCCAACATACACGATCTACTAATTCCATTTTATCACATCCATCCCTGTTGTTAAAACAACTTAGCTTTATAAAATGGCAGCGTACTCATAGTACAGACTGTAAATCCAAAATTGTAGATGGGGGGGTGCAGAACAGAACTTAGAAAAGGAATCCAATTACAAAGACGTTTTCATTTGATCTTCCAGGAAATTGTTCGGATACTGTCTTTAAAATATGCCATGGCCATTCCCTTTAAATCCTTCCTAACTGATCATTCATAACCACCACCCTATTTCTAAATCAGTGCCAAGTAATAAGTACAGTTGGGCAGGCGTCGTTAAATAACACAGGTCTGCAGCTTAAAGTGAGCTCCAAATTGGAATAACTTATTATGGTGTCCTTTGAAATCCTGGATAATCTCTGCACGTGATATAATATCATTAAATAATCTAAAAGACAAACCTCAAAATGCCAAAAATGAACAAAAGATTTTCAACAAATAACACCAGTCATCTGCTTTAATGAAACTGATTTCTTTAGTGGGGGGATGTTATATTTTTCAAAAATTTGAAATATAAATTATTACATAATTTTGTGTGATGGACTGTTTCTATAAAAGTTTCGTGTTATTTTCGTGTAGAAGGCTCTGTTAAACATGTATCACCTATGTTTTGAACACACGACAGCTGGCTTCTTCACGCTGTGTGGGAAATCCACCGACATTGTGTGGCTTGATCAAAATAAATTCTCAAGACCCTCACAGGAACACACACACACACACACCTCGGGAGAGGCACTGTGTATTTTTTAGCCCCAAGGGAACTCCACAAACCACATTACGAATATAAACATGTTATTCCAGAGCTGAATTTCAAACATGCGGGAAAACACAGGTGTTCATTTCACTGAATTTTAATTTAAAGCAAACATCAGAACTGTAAAAGAGAATTTTAATTTGTGTTTTTATCTGTGGAGATCCAGCTCTAAAATTAATATGGCTTGAAGACTTTTTTATTTAATAATGTTTTTAAAAAAAACAGTTTTCCAAGAAAGGAAGATAGTCTTTTATAAAAGTCTTACGTATAGAGTTTTACTAGGAAATTACAAGATAACTTTGTATGGCTTTGAGGCTAATCTGCTAAGATACATTTTGCTTTACTTGTTAAAATTTTAATAATAACGGTATAACCAAGTAACTACGTTGAACAGCGTCATTCTTGAGAGGCTGTCACTCAATTATTGAAGAAATTATCCACTTTCTACAGGACGTAAAATACGGTTAAAATGTTTAAAAAGAACCCACCACCAGTTCTCATCTTCAGCCAAATAAATCCAGTTCACACCCTCATCCTACTTCTTTAAAATCCAATTTAATATTATCCCCCCGTATAAATCTCATATCTGATCTCTTGGGTTCTGATTTTCCGAATAAAATTCTGCGTGCATTTCTCATCTCTTCCATCCTCCATGATACGATTATCATAACAAATATATGGCGTAAGAGTAAAAATTATGAAGCTCCTCACTATGTAGTATTCTCCATTCTTCTGTTCTCAGAGAAAAAACATGTAAATTTTGGGTGATTTGAAGTATTATAATTTTAACAATTTGAAAATTATCTCTCCAGAACGAGAAAATTACTGCATTAATGGCTTGTTTGAGTAATGATAACGTGACTGAACAGCACACAATAGTATTTTTATGGAAGGCATTTAAAATATTCTCCTATACTCTTCACAGGCTTTTATTGAAAATTTTCTCAATTTCTTCTTAATTCTTATCAGTCTCAGAGAGAAGTCCAATATACAAAGGCAATTTTGATGCTATAAATTTCTTCGTACAGCATTAGTAGTGAATACATGTTGTGTTTTCTTTGAGGTACGGGCTGAATTCTTAAATAATACTTAAACAAGTTTCAGCTTCAAAGGGTTAACGTATTATGACACAAATTGTTGCTGGTCTACAAATTCTATATTTATTTTATTACAACCACGAAAACCACTATTTTACAGAAGATGACTGTTTTCTGGGTTGTTGCGCCGTGTAGTCTGGTAGAAGTCTACCGACGTTTCAGAGGTCCTTGCTGCCTCCATCATTAGGGCGACCTAAAATCCTACACTAATTTAAAACTTGTTCGGACATGCTAGAAATTATTAGATTTGCTCACTAAGTCTCACAACGGGCGTTCAAAAACACTACTACACCATTCGGTATTATTCGTTTGTTACTAATTATTGAAAATCTGGTTCTGCACCCCTTAATTAATTGATTAATTTTTAAAGAAAATGCAGTAGGATCATAATTAATATCAAGTGGTTGGAATTATTATCTAACAATTTGCCTGAGAGCAATCACACGATTCGAGACCATGTTCATATATTTATATAAACTTTATCAAATATACGTGTTGTTAAGTTGGGTGATGTGTGTACATAATACGAAATAATAATTATTGAAGTCTGTGATATTCTTAAATTTGTGGATTCAATGATGCCAAAGATTTGTACATAATTCAGTTCTACCACATTCATGTTCTGTATACGTAGAGGCCTACACATAATACGACAATTTGAATTACCCATATAATAACCAAGAGTGATAATACGTAATGATTCCAAAATTAATAATAGAATTGGGTGCATATTTAAGACAAATTTAAACTAAGACACTTGGGTGCATTATTTTGCTTATTTGTCTTAATAGGCTAAATAAATTTTTGTCTTCAATTTCTTATTCCCTCGCTCCAAAATCAAAATACTGGCACATGTCATGATTGGGAACACCGCAAACAGAATTCATGTCTGCGGTAAGACAGGAACGGCCAATGTCCGACACAAATAATACGAACCAGACGCCCGTCTTGTAATCCCTGCCCTCACGTCAAACTCAACATACAAGAATATTTATAATAAAACATTCAAAATGAACTACACTTTCCAGGCACAGAATAAATACTCAATACCACCAAAAGTCTTTAGGACGGAAGCATCATAAATTGTTGTTAAAAAGGTTCTATGTTTCAGAGAAACCTACTTCTGCCTCTATCTTCAGAGTACAAATACGTTTACGTAGGAAAGAGAGAGGATTGTGAGATTTGATGTTCTCATGGTGGCAAGTGTGAAGATATTTTCAATTTCTATAAAACAATATGGTGCAGCATCCCACAAGACAGAGTTTTCGTCAGAGGGGATGTTCCAAACTGAAAACTGAATGGAGAACAGAAGAAATTGGTTCTCGCCCAGGCTACCGGTCGTCAGACCGTTATCTCTAGAGCCAGCTTGTGTGATAAGACTTCCAGGAAAGCATGACATGCGCCCATGAGTCAAAAGCTATGGCGAATCCTGTTCTAAAAGTCACAACCCATCTGAACATTGTGTGTGGTTAGCACTCTACAATGTGATGTTTGGTGGGTCCATTGAAAAGTCGCAGAGGTACATTTTCCTACTTATTTAGTCCGGAAAACAATCCTCTTGATACCCTACATAAACTATTTATACCCTGAAGATGAAGACAGACGTTTTATCAGAAATTTAAAAAAATAATGTTACAAACTAAAGTCGCTTGGTACCATGGCACGCGGGTTATCTTAATGCTTCCAGCTGCGTGTCTAAGACATTAACCAGAAAAATAAATGTAAGATTATTCAAACTTGGTTATAAAAACTTAAGTACCTGTATTATGATTTTATTTCAGATATTGTTAATTTTACAAGAGACTTGCCTGTTTAGTTTTGAAAGGGTTCATATCATACAGACGTTCAGACCTTGACCGGATCTGCGAGTCTGTATCGGAAAGGGTCGATGCCTCGAGATGTAAGACAGCGCTTAATATTTTTTTACCAGTTATAAAACATACTTTGCTCAAAGCAACGAAAAAGTTTAAGTGAAACGTGTAATTTAATTTCTACCAAACATGACATATGTCTACGTCTATAGTTAAAAGAGGTACCCCCAGCTACACCACACACGGACGTAAGCTCTGAGACGTGACTGAAGTCTGAATCTCTGTTCATCGTGTGGTCCACAAGACCTCCTAACAAGCGGATGTTACAACCTTTCCCCCAGAGACAATGTGGCTGTAGCGCGAAGCTGAACATTCACGTTCAATTGTAGCCGAGGTCTACGGCACGTCAGATTTATACGTTAATCATTCAGTTTTCGCAGTGTAATGAAAATATTGTACGTCTTGTGCGGAACAAGCCGTGAATATACTGAGTGGATTTCTTCGTGTTACGCCGAGAAGTGGTAGCCTCCAACCGTAGCAGTTGGTGAAGATAGCCTAAGCTCGACGGCAAGCCATCTTAGTGAGAATAAGTTTTGTAAAGAGTAAAATTTCTGAAATCTTGCAGCAGCCATTCCTTTCTAGTTCTTCCAGAGTGTCAGGATTTGCTTTGTAAGATTTAGATTTTAAATTTCCCTCCAAATAAAGTCCCAGTCGTTTAAGAGATTTTCTCGGTGAAGTTTCAAGCAATTCTTCTGTCAGTAAGGTTCATTTCCTGTCTAACGCTGGTTCTGATTTCAGCTTACTGACAACGTAGTGAATACTTCGTAATGATTCTCTTGATAAACTGCACTAAAACTTTCTGTGACATTTTTAAAATAAATTTGAACCAAGCACACACGTTTTAAAATCGTTTACCTCACTCAAGTCTCACTGTACTGATGCAAGAACAAGGAGACAAATGTGATGATTCATGGTGTAAGCTCGTTATCACCAATTTCTACCGCTCCAGACTTAGCCAGCAGCTCGCACGGCCGGTACTTTGCGGTCAAACAGAAAGAAATCCACCCTTCATTTGTGTATTACGAAATATGTGCAATATACAAATACTGTATGTATCTTAATAAGTGTCTATAAACATTCTTTACTGTGTTGTAATTTACTAAAATATTAGTAAAATATAATGGATGTGTTCTCTTTCATTACACTTGTTCGTCTATTTACCACAGTATTTATTAATTATCGTCTTTTCACAGGTTTTTCCCCGGTAACTTCCCTCTTGAATGAACGGTGAAACCCGCCATTCAAGGTTTTAAGTTTCCGTTTCCGCTACTCGTAGTACAGCTGTCTTTTGTAGAGAATCTACCGAATGTTCTCTTGGTATAATTTGCAATTATTTTTCAGTCCTTCAGTCACAATTCCTGTGGCTCGCGATTACCGGTAAGACAAACACGTCATGTTCCATCATCTACCATTAAGTAAATGTTATCTTTCTTCTTTTGATGTAAATACGTCTATACGTAAGGGTCATTCAGCAAAAACAGCGTTAGTTACGAAAATGTGTACGATACAGAACCGAGTCACCTTTAAACGATCATTCCTCAGGAATGATAAGAGTAAGGGTAATGTAAAATGATCAGTAAATAAGGACCTTTAAGAATCTTTAATGTATTTTATTGTAATTATAATTGTTTATACATTTAATGTAATTTTAATGAACCTAATGTGTACAATTTTCAATGCATCTGACGCGTTAAACTTCCTTTCATTGTATTTATTGCCTAAAAAATATAATTTAAATACAAAGACGTCAGATTCTCCGGAACAGTGGTTCCACTGTCAATTTTTAATTAATTCTGGGCTGTTTGCCAGAACCCATCAGTTTGTAACACTCGAATTCACGGTACTTTTATATCTTCATATTCACGTACTGACGTGGGAGTACCAGACTTTATACTGTCGAATTACGTATTCATTCTTTGCGAGAACAGGACGTCCTGACGTTACGCGGTCAACAGCGTCTCCATATTCCTTACGTAGACAGCACCTGTTTTCAATTTCTTCCTTCAAAAAATTTCTCTTAAATCAGTTTGTGCTGTCGGCCTGATCCTGGTTACGTCCCGGAAATTATCGGGGAAAATAGAAAATACAAGAAACCAGAAAGGAGGATGGAATCAAGGCGAAGTCTGAGTACTCTTTTATAAAACGGTAGAATTCAACGAGGGCACGGTAAATAACTATTGGTAAGACGACGCAATAACATAAAGTGGAAAAGAGCTGGTACTTCATTATCGCTGTTCAACTCTGCTTATTTCCTAACCTAACATTTTTCCCACGGCCACAAAATTTGGGACGATGACGTACCACAAAACCATTAAAAATAAATAAAATTCACGAACTGAACTAGAAGAATTCGGTGTCTTTATTATATTCATGCTGAAACAACAGGGCTGAGTCATGAAATTCCAAACATGTCTGCAGGCAACTTACAATAAATGTGTATCTTTGATACAAATATGGAAAATTAAAAACAAGAAACAACTTTCAATAAACGAACATTAATTATTAATGCAGATTCATCATATACACGTGATACCCTTAATTTTTATTCACAAGACTGAAATAGAAGCATTTTAAATGTATCGGACCTTAATTTTTCCCACGGAAACAAATGCAGCACGGGTGGTGTCCTCCGGCAGGGGGGGTGTAGATGATGTAGTAGGGAATTGAATTGTCTTCCCATCCCGAACTCTCTGGACTCTTAGTTATGTCTGTAATCTTTGACATCTTTGAAATACATATAGCGTCTGGGCCACAAAGACATTTGGTGACGAAACTCGGGAACGGGAAATCACTGTGTGACTTCAGCGGTTCCCAAGAAAATTATCCTCACGCCACGGAAGCCACTGCGAGACGCCATCATAACGCACAGATACGTTTTTCCGACTTATTAATATTAACATCTGCACAGATTTAAACGGAGAACTACATGTTTACATCTGCACAGATTTAAACGGAGAACTGCATGTTTTTTTGACACAAAAACATACTTTTTTTTCAGGAAATGTGAAAATAGTTTTTTGTTGTCATTTTATTAAAAAAAATACTGCCAGAAAGATCTAAGATATCACGCTTCAATCCATTCTTGGACGACGGACTTGTTCGTCTCGAAGGACGTCTGCAGTTTGCGGAGTTATCCAGAGAACAGCGTCACCCAATTCTCCTTGACGGACAACAAAACTTCTATCGACTGCTTTTACAGCAGACACACATTGACCTCCACCACCTCGGAGTTCGCATCGTCAGAACTCAGATCAGGCAATCAAACACGTCTTCCCTGCAAGATGGCAAGAAATCGCTTTGCTCAAGAGAGAGGCTCTGTTACCAGCAGAACGTGTTTCAACACTCAAACCGTTCACAGTCACAGGCATCGACTTCGCTGGTCCACTGTATGTGAAACAAGGACACCCTACAAAGAATCTCCTATTTACACGCGAAACAACAAGAGCCCTGCATTTAGAACTCTGCTCGGACAGATTTGTGGGAAGGCGAGGGCTGCCTAACACCATCCATGGTCAGCACAGAAGCCGCACTGAACTCCAGACCAATATCGCAGGACGAGGCAAATTCTGACGTACGCCTCACTGCGTTGCCAACAGGGCCAGAGCCGGCAGCTAGGAGGAATTTAGCGAAGGAATTCAGACGACAACAAAGGACTACGGGAGACTTCTGGAGGAGATGGAAGAGGGAATACCTAACTCCGCTGAAGAGTTTCCATGAGGTCCGCCAGCCACAGAGAGGTTCGTCGAGCCTCAGATTAGGGGACGTCACATGTGGAAGAAGGCGCGTATAGAAGAAGGGGTGGCAGAATCCGAACTGTCATTCTTCGGACGCCAGAGGGGTCCACGATCTCCCGTCCAGTTCAACTGGTCATGCCTCTGGAGGTTGACCAGGGTGGGGAGGATGTTGGGAATTGAATGTCTTCTCATCCTGAACTCTCTGGACCTGTGGGCAGCGGGAACTTGGCAGCTCCATCATGACAACTTACCCGCCCATTGTTCGCACCTGATTCAGGATTTCTTGGCCAAACACAACATTCCTGTGGTTCGTCAGGCTCCCTACTCTCCCGACATGGGAAAAAATTAAGGTCCGATACACGTGATACCCTTAATTTTTGTAAGATTTGAGGTTTTCACAGCGGTGAGTACGAAGATATCCGTCTTCTGGGTTGTTGCGCTGTGTAGTCTGGTCGATGTTAACCAGCGTTTCAGAGGTCATACTGCCTCCGTTATCAGGGCAATGAATGACCCTGATGACAGAGGCAGTATGACGTCTGCAACGTTGGTTAACATCTACCAGACTAAACAGCGCAACGACCCAGAAGACAGAAATCGTCCCATTTTAATTACCACCGTGTAAGTAATGAAATGCACGTAACTGCAATTTCAAATTAAACGTACAGCAACCCTAACTGCGGTCACAGGTCACTTAAATCCACAGCATCCACTTCAGGAACGAGCTGATCCATCGCGGC